GAAAAGTGTTCGCCAAGGTTTTTAAGATAGTAAAATGTCGTTTGCTTAATTCTAGAAAAAAAGATGATTTTATACACTGCTTGATAACCACAAAAAGGAATTGTGCACTTGTCAATATATACTAGTAGGTCAGAAGGTGCTGAAAATGCGCACTTTGATTAATTGTCCTGGTATCATTTCCGGCGACACCGTTGAATTGGATACACACACACACGTATGCATACATACATGGGCTGTGTGCAACTAGTAGAATGTTGTTAGAATCTTCTACAGCATGATAAAAATCAACACAAAACGATCAACTTTTAATGAAAAGACCTGTCCTGAGAATGGTACAGTGAGTTTAGTATTAACATTCCTCATTGTCATTCTCTACAAAGGTTTTGTTATTCCCCATACAAACGGTGCAATTTTGGCTATTAGGTCTTCCAAAATGGACGTGGCGTAGGCATGTACCAGGCACATTCTTCATCGTAATTGGGCGTGACTGAGCATTAAGTTGGCATTTCTTAATGCTAATGATTAGACACGCCCTATATTTTACACGGGTGATAAGCCGAAGAAGGCAAAACGAATAGATTATGACGGCATTCTACCTAGAATTATCATCATCGATCATGGCTGCAATTTTTTCTTCCACTGGATCGGAAAGTTACAAACTAGATGCTCTAAAAAGCCAGGATCCTATTTCATAATTGAGGTAGTATTTTCGAATCGCATGTCATGGTAGTCCTTGGACCATCTCAACGGAAGGTAATCATTGTCATTTAAAAGATAGCTTGGGGGGGGGGGATTTTCAGTTGCAGTTTTCAAAACTTGCCAGGCACTTCACAATTGCCAGGCACTATGCACCCACGCTGCTTTCTAAGTGTAGTATGAAGCATCTTAGAATCGTATTCTTGTAATTACGGTATACGTATTCATTGGAACATCTCAACGAGTGCTAATGATTGTCGTTCAAAAGATCGTCTGGGGAGTATTTTCAATTACAGTTGTTCAAAACTTTCAAAAGTTACCCCACATTATGCGCCTACGCTGCGTTTTAAGTGTAGACAACTGGCCACTTTTGTAATCTGCGCTGTGTCATTTTCATTTAGTTGAGTCGTTAACGGCCAAAGTCAAGAAGGTCGACGTCTATAAATAACAACATCAACGGCAGCCCTTGCCGCACTGGGTGGTCATTTGTGGCTTGTTATGCCGACTTGTCCGATGATTACCTCGCTAAATCAGCACCCGGAGGGAGTACAGTAATCACGAAACGGCGACGTCGTGCTTTCAACGGAAACTACCTGCTTAACGCAAGACTATCGAAGAGCGAGGTAAAACCATTGTTCCCTGCCTAATTCATGATGAATATATCATCAATAGGCGCCTGGAGGGTTGAGCTGTAATTGCTACCTCCAATTTTGGGGACTTGGTCGCATTAGATAACCTGCCTGAATAGGACCCATCAATCTAGGGGGACTGTGCGCATTTCAATCAATTTTACGATCATGGGTTCAGGCCTGGAGCTGTATGGATTTGTTACATCTCCTTGATAAGTGTGACGAATGCAGGGCATGACGAATGAAGGAATCCGAGGCGTAAAATGGTGATTTTTCCCAAAGGCCACGGAGATAAAGACGTCGCTCACGACAGCTTATAACTTTATGTCTTACTTTTCTCCATCCTTGGGCTGCTCACATTTCAGATTTGTTTCCATTATTTCTCTTATGTTTCATTCATTTTCCCCCTTAGACCAGACCATTTTTCATGATTTACAGGGGAGGTCACGGAAAGTTCTCCTATAGGTAGTAAAACAAGATTTCTAAGCCGTGATTCAGTGTAACAGAATACCCCTAATCAATAACGCATTCAATAATTTAAAGAATCATCTATAAAATTGGCATGGACTAAACCGGGTCATTCATATCGGTATCCATATTGTAAATCTATAAGGAAATGAATGTAAACAACATAGATAAGTGCATCATTGATAGCGTTGTCTGGCGCTATTCACTGCCTTAAAATAGAAACACACAGTGAAATCACGATTCCTTTTGCTCCGAATTACACTCTTATTGGCAGTTGTTTTTCCATTATGACACTTATGACATAGCTTTTATCTTTACGATACACCTGTGTCGGCGTAGACGGCAAAGCGTACCCCTCCCTGGCCCTATGAAGTGGTCGAACCTCTAATAAGAAAGGCCCACCTTAGGTAAGATGGATCAGGAACCGTACTGGTACACGGAGGCAATCAGATGAGAAAGAGTGGCAGGTAAAGCCTCTGTGGATGAAATGACGCCTGGAGGCTTGTAAAGTGGATGTCATAAAGCGTACGTCATATTTATATTCCTCCAGATAACGAGATGTAAACTTTATAGGGAAGATACAAAGCACCTCTCCTACTAGGGGAGGCATAGGGAGGCATAAATCGAACCGTACATCGTCTCTCTAGACTTGCCGAGGTGCTTGTTATTCTTCGTAGCGTTCACTCAAGTGGAGCAGCGATGAGGCACGTGAACAGAGGATAACATTCATAAAGAAGTTAGCGTTGCAAAGAGATGAAGGGACGTCTTTATTAGAGGAGACAGGGTGATTGATGCGTTCCGGAGTGAGCGATGACCTACGTGAGTGAACGGCGCAAAATGAATGACTTCGACCGGGCAGGGAAGAGCTGCCCGGAGGACTGCAGGAGCAACAGTCCGTCAAGAAAAACGGTCTCCCAGTGATAGGCCTTTAGTGTTATTGTCAAACATGTCATCTACGAGACGGCTAGACGTCAGACAGAAGGCATTTTAGTGAATAGCCGTGGGTATATCATCGTTACAGTGAAAGGAACGGCGCTATAATCTCCACAGGCCGGCATCCACCGTCCACGCTGATAGATCCATACCTGACGTCTCTTACGTAAAAGTTTAATATCACTGAATTACGAGAAATGCAGACGCAAGCCGTCCGGCCGGCCACGCGGCTTTGCAACGCAGCAACTCGTCAGGCAGAAACGGAGGTAATCACCAACCTCGGGCAACATTCGCCGCACAGAATCCCTGGTTTTCATGTCCAATCAGCTATCCCCCCCTTCAAGACAGATTTCTTGTTTCCTCTGGGAGCTTTGGGTGGCATAACACATGCAACGAAACGGTTGTTATCTCAGACCAAACGCCAATCAAGTGAAGGGTTGAGTGCCTAGCATAAAACCGTTTTGGTCTTGATGAATTACACTCCAAGTTTGCCGTCTACTGAGAAATACAAAGAACGAGCTTGGGTTGACCAAATCATGCCCAGCCTTGATACGTTCTTCTATACATTACCCTAAAGGGGCACGGTGTAGAAAAATTTGTGAATGTGGAGTGAGACACACAGAGAGGCAATGATATGTTTTCAATGATTGAACTGACATCTTCAGTGGGGTCGTGTGGCGCAACGGCAGCGTGCGAGACTCGGAATCAAGAGGTCTCGGGTTCGAGTCCTGACATGCCACCGATCTTGTGCTCTTGGGAAAGGCACTTTACACGACTTTCCCTACCATACTCAGGTGAAAATGCGTCTTGTCTGCCCAGTATTTGTTTCTATGTGCGGGACACAACACCAGCAACAGCTGCCTCTGTTCCGCGTGTATTGTACTGTTGCGATTTAAATAAATCAAATCTTCAATGTGGGCTCGGATGTGTTACTGCGATGCGATTCTTGGACAATTTTCCTGAGGGGGGCTAGCGTTTCCGGATCCCTGATTGTGTCACTTTGCCAAAACTGCCGGTCTTTCAGATTACGTTCCCAAGAGGAGTGCTTCCCTGTAACCCAATTTATCTCCAAATGACATCGAAATGATTCCATGCCCTGTATGAGATAGGGTCAATTTGTTTCCGCAAAGTAGTGTGCGGAAAAAATCACACGAATATCCATGAACACACGTCCTATTTTAAGTTAAAATAACATTGTTTTTGCGACAAAAGTCTCTCATAGCCATGTACAGTATTTCATCATCGTTACAAGAAACATATTTTCCGTGTCAATATGGAAGTCAAACGGTCAGTCAAACGTAAAGATAGCACAAGGTGATGAGGAGACCCTCATTTGGCTCGTTCTCAAAAAGAGTGGGGCATTATGAATGCAAATGGCGTCAGAGGAAGGTTATTCATTCCGCAAAGGGCGTGTTTCAGACCTTGACAGTACTAATAATAACTCTCTCTAGCTAGGTAACATCAAGGTTTAATAGTTGATACTATTTTTCTCCCGTTTGTACTCGATATCTAACATTGATCGCACGTCATCTGATCGCTGGGGGAGCGATTACTGATGTGAACGCAAATGGACGATGCCGAGAAAATTGTTCTGGGTGTTTGGCCAACACAGCCAACCACTGTGAAATCGAATTATCAACCTACCGTGTCAAGAAAAATGCCGATGAAATGCAAACTACCTTTAGTCCTGCAAACACAATAACAAGGTATCGATGTAAATGTGGGCGAATGGATCATTAAACGATTTTTAGTCGTCCTCCCTGGGCCGTAGACTTTTCCAATAAAATTTAAAAAGCTTTTGAGCGGATAATCTTTGCAATCTTTGATAAAAAATCAGTTATGAAATATGTACCGTTGAATATAGACAGGATACAGTTTATCATGCCTGTACCGGCTTAATAAGTAATCCCAACTTAATACTACATAAACCAAACTGCATGTTACGGTCCTAGCGACGTGGATTCCTGACCAACCGCAGGCCCTGCACAGTTATTTGTCTCATCATAGGCTTAATACTAAAATATGCCCTTGGTTAACGATAATGTCCGGAGATACAGGCATGAAAGTCACATCGAATTATACGATGCTAAAGGTGGCGCCGCACAGGTGGCAACCGAGAAATGTCACTGCTGAAAGTACCGATGGTATCAGGTACTGAAAGAAATTGTACCCTACTCACTGGGGGGAGGAAACTGTCTTGCCATGACTATTTTACAACCTTATCTTTACTGTGGATGGAGCAATCTATGCAAAATACAGAAATGGAAGTCTTACCTGTAACGAAGACTAAGCTAGCACAGATTGCGTGGACCACGGAGAATTCCATCTTGAGGAATAAGTTGCCACCGTCCACAACAGTACCGTCCTGGAGGAGCGAGTTCGGCCGTGTGGAGAGACCAGGCCTGCAGGACGGCTACTGTGGCGCGCTCTCACCCTAGCCTGCCCGGGCGATTTGCATCCCCATCTGTCATTGTACCAGGAAGGCTGACTGACATGTACGGCAGCGAAGCGTTTCTTCACTCCACGCCTCTCACGTTTACCATCCACGTAGCTCCACCCAAGCGTCGGGAGAAGGAGAGAGACATACGGGCACCAGGACCGACAGGCACGGGCCTATGGTAGCGACTGCATAAAACTTTCAATGGATTCGTGCAGTCAGTGACGCGTGGAAGGTCGCTTTCAATGCAGTCTATTGTTTGCGCCGTCCCTGGTGCTGAAACGATTGCGGTTTTCTCTGCCCAGCCCGTTCGTCCCTATCGCTCAATCTCACGTAATTGCCTGAGCTAGAATAAAGGATGACAGGCAGTAACCATGCGGAAAATAGAGAAGACCTTGTGTGAGACCCGTATGTGCAACACAGAGGGAGAGCGATGACGGATAACCATTCTAAAGCCAGTACATCCCTCTTGTTTCGCGTGCAGCGCAGCTCCTGTTAGAAGAAAGAGACAAAACACTTCTCTCCTCCGGCACTCCAATTAAAACGCCCAATTAAGCATCAAACTAGTGACGATACCCTTTTTAGTGCCCCTTCTACAGCAGTATTTCAAAGGCCCAGACTGTACTTGAAAGACAAAGAGAGGAGACGTGTGGGTCTGTTAAAAGGCTAAGGGAGACCTTGTTATCTTCAGTCTGCGTGGTTCAGATTCTGAAGTGATGGGGAGAGCACGTCATTCACAAATGGAGGTCTCACCCTATTAAAACAAATGGGTTGGCCTTTGAAAGCACGCCAGCGTCAGTGATTTTTAAAGGCAGCCTGTAAAAAAGTTTCTGTGTGATGCCATGTCTTCTTGGAAAGGGGCACATCTCTGTTTTGGACCCTAACCGGAATATTTTTCTTGCACTGTATAAAGGCGAATTTTGCTAAAAATAACTATGATTCTACATGCCCGCAGCCAGGATTTTGCTTGGGGAGGGGTCTTCTTACTGCCCGAGGGACCAGCGAGCGCCGTATGCACGAATTTCATAGCTATAGGGTTTGAAAATTGAATCTTCTGAAACGGCATTTCCTGCGTTTTTGAATTTAGAGACACACAAGGAAGCAGTTTTTCTAGGATTCCAGTACTGCTGGTGATAAAAATCAGTCCTCTTTTTAAAGCAATATCTCTGAGCTTTGAGCTTGTTTGTGTGTGTGTTCTTCCCATGAAATTGAATCTTTTGAAACGGCATTTCCTGCGTTTTTGAGAGAATTTCAAAGGACAATTTAGAGACACACAAGGAAGCAGTTTTTCTAGGATTCCAGTACCGCTGGTGATAAGAATCAGTCCTCTTTTTAAAGAAACATCTCCGACCTTTGAGCTTGTTTGTGTGTGTGTTTGTGTTCTTCCCATGTTCTAGGAAAAGAATCAATGTTACGAACGGGTGTCGAAGATGAAAAAAAAAACAGATGTGAGCTGAACGATCAAAGCACGGGGATCCCAGAGGCCCTTGCGCATGCCCATATTACGGAAATTCCCGGGACATCGTTCGGAAAAGTTGATGATAAATGTTACCCCGTCAGCCCTCCCTACTGCACACGGCTAGCCTAATCCGCTCTGTATTTCTCGCCAGATCGGGTAGTAATACTACTCATTACCATGGATCGGCGCGGGAGAAATCTGTACATCAAAGTCACGGAGATTTTGTTTATCACGAAGGATTGAAAACTTATTGGGTATACAAGGCTCTTGGGCCACGCGTTCATCAAATGGGTTTTGCGCGACGGCGTGTGCTAGTCCAAATGAATGTCTGACTCCGGAGATATGACGAGTAAGCCTAGGAACGTACAGCAACGAGTCATCGATACAGGCACTGATGCGAGGAAGGGACACGGGGGTGCAGTTTTGTGTCATGAGTGATGAATAGTGGGGTAAAGAGATGGGCAGGCAGAAGGGGTAGGTTCAAGGCCATATGATATGTAAATTGCATGTGTGCAGCCGGAGTTAGGAGCACCCATGTTTACCATCAGTAACACTAGGGAAAGGTAGAAATAGGGAGAGGCGTAGAGGAGGGAGGACAGGGTATCAGTGAAATGTACACGTTCTGTAGGTTGACGAATCATTGCAATTTTCTGTTAGATTTGTTTTATATCAAAATTCTAATAAACATTTAAGAAGGGAAGGAAGCGCATTAGAATATTTTGTCTATATTGTCCTGTGCAAGGAGAAACACTGGAAAGGCACTGAAGATTATAATTATTCAAAGGCAAATTGAAGTTACTTCTTTGAAATTTTGATAAACAAAAACAACTGAATCCATGCATAATTTTGTAAATAACTCTGTAAATAACTCTGTAAATAAGATAATAATAGATTGATCAGTAATTGTATTTGATACATTTGTAATTGTATCAAGGCAGTCAGAATAACAATATACGAATATCGAAAAAATGATGTTAGAGCAATAGGTGATATTAGCTTTGAATATTTATAAAATAGCTTAACTACAGGAAGATAAGAAATAAGCCCTAAGCAGGATTTACCACCACAGAGATAACTTGAGACGGCCCGACTGATCTGTAATTCTGTGCTTTCAGCAGTCAGAGCTGCAGGCCGTAATCTCCATGACCCTGTGACCTCAGGCTCCCTTCCTTATGCGACAGTTTGGACACGTTTTGAATCGCCCTACATTTCAAAGATGCCTTCAAAGCGACACACGTCGAAATCTGACTGTCACTTCGACAGCAATCATATAATAATTCGCCTAGGGGATGCTATCTATGAAACATACGACAGATGTGTGCGTAGGTTGAACGTTATAACTTAAGGATTACGTAGGAGTGCATCGTCACAGAAGCCCTTATTTCCCCCACCTGTAACGTTCGAATTAGATTAGATTACAACCATGTGTCTCAGTGTTTAATCTTAGAAAAGGGATTACAATGATCACAGGATTACTTCCCCATTAGTTTTGTTTATAATTTATTCAATTTAGGTGCACATGTGCAAGCAATAACCACAATGAAACGCAGAAAGAGTCTCAGAAGGACAGAAAGATCATTTCTAGAGATGACACATGACAGGATTCTGCCGCCAATATCATGACCTGTTTGCATGGTGCATTGGTTCTGCATATTTCATAAGAGACGATTCTTTCCATGTCATATGTACCAATAGGCTACATGTAAACTATGATTATGTTCTCTAAAGAATATTTCAGTTCAAGAACTTATGGGAGAATAATAGGTAGATAGAAATGGTAAAATGATATCAAAGTTGTAAACATAAAGGTATTCGTTGACGACCTCATGCCCCCTCCCACGATACCACCGTTAGGCCACAGCAGGTAAATTTTATGGATGACATCCTCCACAGACTCCAAATCTAATGCGAGCGGGCGAAAAAAAACATGGCGGGCCAAAAAACAAGATCACTACATTTTCAAATTTGGACATCATAAACCTGGTTAAATAGGAAATTATACCTACTTGTGCTAAGTTTACTGCCTACTATCACTGTGTGTGACAACATCCATTTGTCATTGAAACAACTTTAAAAAATAAAAGTTTTTAATCATTTTGCAAATGGTTTTGATTGAGTGGGAACATTTAAAAGGAATGAAATACATCACTGCATCAAAGTAAAAGTCAAAACAATGAATCAGAGCCCTGTCTTGTCTCCTCTCTTTATATTTATCTGTCATCCACGTTCCGGCATGGTAAGGCATGCCATTTTGCCCATTTTCGGCATGTTGAACCAACCACTGTCAGAGGGCAACAAAAGTTCATTTTTTTCAAAATCAGGCGAAAATAAATCCGCGCGCTGATGTCATCCATAAAAATGACTTGCTGTGGCCTTATAATGTGCATGAAATAACGTATCCTACACAACGTTGAACTGTTTTGTGCATCCACAGATGTGTGTAACCTTGCCGGTAGGGCTGATCTCGCTATTTTATGTGCGTGTAACTAGTGGAGAATCCCACGTCGGCGGGGCCCGATGGCGTGCAAAGGCTACATCACAGGAACTCGATTATAGCAAATGTGGGGGATGAGATAGGATTTAGCACAGTTCACGGCGGGAAGCAGGAATACTCCGCTTCTTATTAGCGATAAAGTCACGGTTCCATCTGTTTGGGCGGCAAACCGGCACGTTTTGTGTCGTAAATCATTTAAGCAGTTCCTAAGGAAAGACTCATTACATACGACGTTTTCTTCAATATAAATTGTAAACTATATTTGATTATGGATTGACTGTTAATGTCGTTTTAACAGTAAGGCTATAAACGTAGCAATCACCCGTATGAAGTTTATGAGCTACACCATCTCTCCTCACAATGATAGGATTTACGTGTACATTTAGTGGCCCATGGCACTAAAATGTGCCACTCAATGACCACATGTACTGATGCTGACACTTTGCCTTCTAAGCTATAATAATGCAATAGATAGCAAAACCTTGTGTTTTTTTCAAAATGTTTCAATATGGCAGTAGTTGTTATGTAGTTTAGTCTGTATTTGGATGCCTGCCATTTGATAACCGTCGACATCTAAAGATTGCTAAAACTAGAAAGGTAACATTTGCATATGGTCTGCTCTGTTAATTCTTATTCAAACACATTCATATATATCTATATATAATATGTATATGGTCAGACAGCAGTCTAAATCCCTTCTGCTATAAAATTGCAACATGATGTAACCCAACGCTAGTGACGTGAGAGACGTCTGGTTCAGGGCATTGTCCTTTTCGGTTTGGAGAAGAAGAGGAAGAAACTGAGCAAAAGCAAAATGTTATCCTCCGGTAAACATAAAATGTAATATACTGGAACTTGTGGAAACTAAATGTACTTCACTAGTATAGAAACAACTCCTAAAACAAGTCAGGTTCTTCAGTCTCTAAAGAGATCCCATTCTAATTACCTGTGAACATTCACATGATTTGATTGATTACCAAAGAGGGCGATCAATAAGCTAATGTTAACCTCGACCTTGCAAAGTGACTGTTAATGAAGAAATCATACAATATACCAAGCATATTAGAAATCTATTCAATATCGAGCACATACAAGATCAATCAACCGAACTGCTTATGAAGTTGCTTCAATTTTTCTATCACTAGTATCAGATAATAAAATCAACGAATTTTCATTTCTTTATTCTTATGAATGAGGCTCAAGAAGACTTTTGCAACGGTTTACAAACGAGTTATATTAACTTATACATGTAAGTA